TATATATATATATATATATATATATATATATATATACAGCATTGCCGCAAGACGATTTAAAGTTTATCTCTATCATATCATTATTTACCTATAAAAAGCATCTCTTCGGAGATCTCGTCTTGTCGTAAATTGCTGATAAGAAGAGGGCGTATCATATCGAACGCTGCTATTTACCATGCATCAAGGACTGGTGCTGTCTAATACATATGCGCATGAGTGTGAAAGAATTTTGTGCTTCATCGGATTTGAATTCACAAAAAAGCCTCTATGGCCTAGTTGATTAATGTGTCTGCATAGACAGCAGAAGATCACGGGTTCGAATCCCGATTAGAGTACCTTGTTTTCCACACTCACAGATTCCTCTTTTTAACGTTTAAAAATAGTATTTTTATATAGGCCTATTATATATTTTCAGTATTACCGCAAGACGATTTAGAGTTTATCTCTATCATATCATATATATTTGATAGTTGATACGATGTAAAGTATATACATATATATATACATATATATATATATATATATATATATATATATGTTTATAAATGTATATATATATATATATATATATATAGACCTATTGTATAAAAGGAGCAGCCGAAAATTTTCGATAAAAATGTGAAATATTTTCGTAAACAGTTTGAGTTTACACCATATAAATCATTAGGCCTATATTATAGGATGATATTTCTTATGGTATGTACTACCTATCAGTATATTATGCTGCTACAAAATGTTTAGTATAATTGGAATAGAAAAGGAGTTGGAAGTGTATTGTACTGTACTCACCAATACCATTGCTCCCGCCGTTGTCAAAATACCAAACATTGCACACAACCACCTGTGAATACATATTATATACAATAATACATATAATTATATATAAACAGATGGATAATGATAATAACAGTGCTCGAATAGGGAACATGATGTTATAGTTAGGCCTATATCAAACATACCTTTTCAACAAAAAGATCATTTTTATAGTTGTATTAAAAAAACTGTCTCTGGTGGAATTCGAGCCTGCAACCTCTCGCTATCAAGGTAAGTATCATATCATTAGACCACAGAGATATAGTTATACGCTCAGATCTAAGCCCCCCCCCCCCACACCACCAAGCACCTTCTCTCATACAACTGGCTAAAACGCTCGGCTATTTATTTAAGACATTTATTAAAACTATGAACGATACAAAACACCCATTAAATCAGTTTATCACTCATCGTAGGTCAGGTACAAATAGACACAGACATTCCATGTTATCCATTACTTCAATGATAGATATGTCAGATAATACTAATTGTATTTTATCGGTTTGTTGCTTTTCGATTTAAAAAAACATCTAATAAGGCTTTTGTTGTTTTTGTATGTCTTTCATATTGTATGCAGCAAGTAAAAAGAATTTCATTTATCACATATTTGGTTTATGATATTAAATCTTTCTTGTATCTTGTATATAAATTTTAAAAAAGGCAAAAACAAAAACAAAAACAAACAGGACAATCAAGAAAGAGTCAGATAAATGTTTAAAATGTGCTGACATTTTCTTTTTATGTCATTTTATATTATGTCACTGTACAAAGCAATGTTTGGAATAGGCAATCAAAATCGTAATCGTAATGGTAATCATACACATAATCGTCATAATCATGTTTAACACGCATCATAGATCTCGCATGATGGTCGATGACAACTCGGAAATTTCAGATTTAATAGCTATTATACTAGATTCTTTGTTCCTGCTGACATTAATTTAACTTGTATTGGACCTATCATATAAACCGTAATTATTATTACAATTATTTCGTAATGTTCTGAATGATGCAATTCCTAATTGCGTATCTTCTTAATGAGTCCTCTAATTACTTTAATGGCAACATCTTATCAGCACCTCCATATCTTAATTGGTTGGGTGATGTTGCGTTGTATGTTCCGCATACAATATAAATTAGAGAATTTCTATATGTTCATTCAAATGAGTACCCATATTATACATCTTCTTCTATATTAGGCCTACTGTTGTTTTGCCTTTAGATACATGTGTACGTACATATATAATCCTTTTCAAGCCTCAAGCAGATTCTAAAAATGTATGAGAGAAAGTGCCTGCTTAGAACTGCGCTAGAGCTTTCAGACAACACTAGTTGCTGTCTCTTATACACATCTAGATGTGTATAAGAGACAGCCGTTAACACTGTTAAAACAGTGTATCT